TTGTAGCAACAAGATAATTACTGTGCGGACCATTTTCATTTATATACTGCTCTGTGAACACAAATTAGTTAGCATAAATCAGTTAAATGACAAAAAATTAGGTGTCTATTTATTTGTGACCACTCAGTGTATATGTATAATCTGAAGACTTTGGTGGTAAAAGGTGACAGTTCGCAAGAATAGCTTAGCATGTGTTGAATAGTTGTTTTTTCTAGTAGTAACAGAATGTTCTTAACCAATTTACAGATTAGTTAGAAAACCAGAAAAATAACCATAGTTTTGGGACACTTTATTACCTGATATAACTTTTTTTGTGTTGTACAATGCATATTTGAAAGCTATGAATTATTTTCTGGTTAACCAACATAGTAAGAAAAAAAGTTACTAAGTATAGCATATTAGTGCAAACAGGCCTCAACACCTACTGTAAGGATTATGTATATTTTTATTTATTTCGTGTTATATATATATATATATATATATATATATATTTTAACAAAAGTAACTAAAATGTAAAAAAAAACTTATTAGGTTAGATATTTTGATAAACATGCAAGTTTAAAATTTTCGTATGCTGCCACTGTTAACTTCAACTGTAACATTAATAAACATGGTAAGTCTTATGTCTGAGTAGAGTCAAATAGTACATGTAACTATTTACACTTGACCGTGTTAACCAATATAAAAATAATTTAACAAAAATAAAGTTAAATATTATGGAGAAAACTTTACATACTCATGCACTTACTTTTTTGCAACAACTTAAATTCCTTTCACGTTTCTAATTTGTTTGCCACAACAGCAATTCTACCAAGTTCCTTTAGAAGGACTTTAACTTGAAAAGGGATGGCTTTTCCAACTTCCTGACAAATGACTGTTAATAGTTCAAATCCAGAAATCTTCCCAAACACATGCTGAACAACAAAAATGAAAATTAATTATGCAAAATAGATAATAGAAAAAATTCAAAATAAAATGTACTAACATATTTGATAATGACATGTATATTCATATGTTGTAATATTTATCTGTAAAGTTCTAGAAAAACTCTTGCAATAGTGTGATACATGTATAAGATTGACAAAAAAAAGTCAGACAGGATATACTATAAATCGTGGAAGAATTAATTTCACCTATTATATACTGAGGGTAAACAAGACATTTATACTTAATCCTTTGTTTATCACACTATTTAACAGTTACTTTCAACAGAAAACTATCCACCTAGAGCTAGTCAAGCAGCCATGAACTGTCTGACACAGTATTTAATATTAAGTTATAAGAAGTTGGTGATACCTAATTTTAATAATAATAATAATAAAAATGCAGCAACAGCAGCAGCCAGTGTGTGTGTGTCACATCATGATTTCTCGAAATAGAAGGAGTCATAAAAGCCAAAATGCATTTATCAAGATAGAATAGTTCAATTACTGTCTGCCCATTATGATTTTAGTCACATGGGTGCCAGAGGGGAGGATGCAGTGAAACCTTACAAGTGTAGTGAGTGTTGGTATAATAAACCTAAAGTAAAGATGTAGTGCATAAGATATATAGATTCAATTTTAACTTAAATTGTTTCTGAATTAAGCTATTTTCTAAAAAAAACTCTTTAGGCAATGGAAACAAAATTAAGAAATCAACAAATATTTTTCCAGTCCTATTGTCTATACACTTCATTTTTTACTTTCAGTACATAGACTAATAACATTATTAGGTTATACTTTTGTTGCCAAGGGACATGATGTAAAAGAAATTGTTGAAACATAGTATTAGCAAAATGCATTGGCTTTTCTATATGTTACAGGTTGTTAATCTAACTGGTTTTTACCAATAATTATTCTATGAATATACCACAAATTCATTTCATGAATTATTTTAATTTCAATTGGCTCGCAAAAGAATTTTCCAACAGTTGACTGCCTCGACTGTACATTTCTGCCTCTTTTCTTGGTCAAGCTTGATTTCGCAATTTATTTATTTCAGTTAGCTATGAAATGTGATGTTAGGGTATACAATGGGGTGCAGGTGGTAGTACTTGCCCAATCATTTTTGACAGGCTATGCACTAGTTGTATGTATATTTTACTCTTACATATTGATCAATCCAACATATAATCAACTAAATATAATATTATTAGGTAACATCTTTCTTTCTACTTCCAGAAAAGAAACATTTCAACAGGTTGGAAAAGCTTTCTAAGAAAAGTTATTGAGAACAGACTAATTAGTTTGATTGTTAGAGTTTTATACAATAACTGTGAAATAGCTAATTCCTACAAGAATAATACAAAGCTGAGAAAACATTACAATATGTAAATGCATATACAAAATGATGGGTTTTTGACAGATTAGACTTCATGCTCCAGACTTTTTGTCAAACAATATAAAGAATATAACTCCTATTTTGTAATTTTTAAAAACATTCAGATATTCAGTTTTTTACTTTAATGCTTTCACAGCTGTTTTTGTGAGAAAATTCATCCATTCTTGAATTTGATTAATTGTACATTACATATTTTTTCCAATCATGAATAAGGATATTATGTTATACACTTCCTGAGTATAAATCAACTTTTAGATTGAAAATAAGTTGTATCACTTCCAAATTTTAACACTGTTAATACTGCTTGTACAATAAAAGAAGTAAACAAAAATAAGATTTGGTTCATTAGTTATTTTTTGTCTATAGATGCACTTATTTTGGTCAAAAATGTATCATTGATTTAACCGTAACAAACTTAAAATAAGACCCAAAACTCGAGCATTTTCGAATAGTTGACTATTCTTCTTCAGGAACCCAAAACTCGGGTGCTTTCGAATAGTTGATTTTTCTTCTTCAGGAGAACAAAGGGTGTTCTTCTGAAGAAGAATAGTCAACTATTCGAAAATGATAGAGTTTTGGGTCTTATTTTAAGTTTATTACACTTTATATGTGATCATTTGTGCTAACTCTTTTATCAAGATTGATTTAACCATTTCATGTTGACTTCACTCTTTAAACTCCCTTCTGCACAAGTCAAGAGGCATTACCGAGTTATATTTAAAATTTAATTAAACTTTATTATCAATTTATTCTAATAAAATTGGCATAATCATGTACATTATAATCCAAAGTTTTATATAAGTTTGAAGTTCTCTATTTCAAAAAAAATCTTTAAATAAAAATACTTAAACTTCAGTTTTATAGTCAAGCGATGACTGAGTGATCACAGATCTCAATGTTTTGTCTCTAATACTTGAATATTAGCTCATATACAGTGTACATGTATGTTTAGACAATCTACTTGTACAGCTCTATTGCTATTTATCCATTCTTAGTTCAAATTCTATCAGGTCAATTAAAAGATCATAGAAAATAAATATGCTCACCCCTTGACAGTAGCCATGCCAACCTTTCTACTTGGACACACAATTTCTGGCAATATGTACTTATTTGACTGATATTTTTATAACCAATAGAAAAAGCTCATTTTAAACTACAATCTACCAATTGTTACTTTAAAAGTGACACACAATATTTATTACCAAGTACATCAAACAACCAAAGCATTGTTTCCTGATTTTGTATTCGCTAGCACTTAGCTTTGTCTCTCGCCTAGATACATATCAGTTAGATAGACAGTTAAATTGTATTTAGGTCTTGCATTTATAATTTAGTCAATTATTTATGTTTAAAAATTCATATTTGAAAGGTTTAGTAATTTTTATTTTACTAAACTTCACCTCGGTTCACAAGGTTTAACTTACTATGCAAGCACTAAAAGCATTTTGCTGAAAGTATCTTTGCCAAAGATGTAATATGCCCTGAGGACACCCACTGGCATGTGTTTTAAAGGACAGAAAACAAAAATAAAGCATTAAAAATAACCTAAAGGTGAAAAGCTAAAGACCTGAAATTATGAATATAACCAAATAAAAATACTTTAAGAACATTCAACAAAGAGTTAAAAGGTATGTAAATATTTCTATTTCTTAATTTTAAACATTTTGCTGTACTATACATTGATGATAATAGCTATAGTTACTGATATCATAGAGAAATGGAAATATAAACATTTATCTTTAAAATAACATCTTCTCTTTCACAAATTGCCTATAGTTCTCTCTAACATTTATTATTAAATTGTTTATAATCAATAGAAAGCCAAAGTTTCAATCTATCAAATGATGTATCACATTATGTTTTCTACACAGATAATTGTTAGTTTCATTTCCAGTTCAAGCTTGATTCCCACAGGAAAGACAATGACAAGCTTAGCTGAATTTTTGATGGCTCTTGATGCATAGTTAAAAAGCCAGAATATTTGTGATAGTTATAGGACATATTCTGCTTTTTTGTATGTTATTATTCAGTGTTCTTTGGAGCATTATTTAATTTAAAAAAAAACACTTATTGCAGTAGTACCATTAGTATAAAAAAGTAGGGCAAAGTGTCATTGACAGTAATAAAACATTTCACAAGGCACGCACATGAGCAGCTCAGAGTAGCTTGTGGGTAATGAAATTCAATCTCCACATTCCCCAAGTGATTTATAACTTATTATGGTACAAATAGTTAGACACAGTTCAAACATCAATAAAACTCAGGTATAGATAGATGCATACTGTTACAAGTTTAAAGATAGTTAGGATAACCCTATCGGCACGGGTACCCTTTACTGCGCATGACACAAGGTTTTAGTGTCTTACATTCAAAATTTTATTCAACTACTTTTTGTTTATGTT